GCTATATTAACAAAATGATACTTATAGACGTTTTTTTTTTTTATCTTGTTGAGAATAAACTAAAAATAAAATTGCATTTTTAAGATAATCAGGGGAAACTGAACATAGTTGGTATTCCATAATAGTAAGGAATTATTGTTAAGTTTGGTAGCTGTGATGGTGGTAGTACAGTTATGTTAAAAAGAAGTTCTTATCTGTTGGAGCTATATACCAGTACTTACCAATGAAATAATATATTTGGTTATTTGCTTTAAAACATCACAGGAAACAAACTAATTTTTAAAATACAAAGATAGATTGGTAAATGTTGACAATCATTGAGGGTGTAGGTTATTTATACTACTTTAGTGTTTTGTTTAAACATTTTCATAATAAAAATGAAAAAAGTAATTATTTAGTTTGCATTACTTATGATATTATCAAAACACTTCATTAATTACTGAGTATCCAACTTACTTTATATTTTAAGTTGGAGAACAATACAGGAACACCTCATCATAAATTTCAGTATCTTCTTTCTCATGCCTATAAATCCATAAGGTCCAGTATGTTCTGGCCTATGTCTAGCTCCAATCTCATTTCTACAGCAAGATGGAAAATTATGCTTTGTATTTAATATGGATATAAGTAAAATGAATCTGCTATTACCTTTGACGTCTTTCTAGAGTGTTCCTTCGTATATTCTTGCTCTTTGATTCCATAGTTTTGTAACCATCTTCTTTATTTTAATTCAACACATATTTCTGGAGAGAAGAACCAGGTTGCATTAGGCCCTCAGAATAGCATATGGGGTATGTTGTTTTCATACATAAATATATGAAATATTCATTGATAGATATGAAATATATATAAGTGTATGATATATAAAGTATATGTATATGTAATAACAGAATTGATAGATGCTATATTAGCTATATGAAAAAAGTGCTTTGGGAATTCTGAAGAGAAACATGTGATAAAATACTTGTTCAATCAAGATAGAGGAAGAGCGTGGCTGGTGTGGCTCAGTGATTGAGCATTGACCTATGAACTAGGAGATGAACATTTGGGAATATTTCTGTTGTCATATATTTCTAGATAGTTCTTTTTATTTCAAATATATATTCACTTTCATACCCAATTTTGCATCCCTCCCCACACATCAAGAAGTCCCCCACATTGTATAAACTTCAAAGGTCACACAACCTGAATCTACTTCGGTGTTTGTAAATTCATAAGGCACTGCTCTGGGAACTAAGGGTACATCAATGAACCAAATTTAAAAAAAAAAAAAAAGAGAAAAAAAAAGAACTCTCTTATGAAGCTTACACTCTAGTTGGGAGAGACAGGCAAACAAAAAACATAATAAACAAATTAGTATGTTAGCAGTAAATTGAGGGAGTTAAAGAGGACAGGTGAGATAAAACTGCAGTTAAAAAGGGTTGGTAAGAGGAAGCAGGCCTCGTGGGATAACTTTGAGCAGAAACTTGAAGGAACTGGTTACCAATGATCCCAGTGGAATCTAGTGTAGTGTGTCATTATTCGCCTATTCAGGCCCTACTATAGAATATTTGAAGTGAAATAATCCTGAAGACACAGTAAGGGAGGGTAAGGCAGTAACCGTTGGACCAGGATTAAGAACTGAAACATCATTGGGGAATAATAAAGTGGGGGAGATTGCATTTACCAGAGTGTGTTTGGGGAGTGAAACCCCCAAAGAACATGGCTGTTAAAAGAGATTTGGTCTGATTAACTGAGAGGTTTGTATTGCTGGGTAGAGAGAGGCAGTTGGAAGCACATCTAAAATGTTCAGGGGAACAGAAAGGCTGAGGCTGCTGCCAGAGTTGCCCTTTCCCACCCTTCTCATCCTGTTAACATTCAACCTTCTCTCTAAATCAATGTCAAGAAAAGAGCTAAAAATATAAGCTTAAACGGTTATTATTGGCCTGTCCTAGAAATAATAAAAATATGAGAATAGAACTGTAATTGTGAGAATGTTAAGCTTTCATAGAGCACCTTATGTTTTTATTAGGCAGCCGTGTTATAGTAGAAAGATAAAGGACACATCAGAACTAGATATGGGTTCTGACTCTACCATTTAGCTGATTAGCCTTGCGCAATTCAGAAAAGGAAAAACTTTTATCATCTATAGAATGGAAATGATAATGTTTCCTTTATGACAATTAAATAAGATAACTGTGTTTAAATTAAGTTTTTAATCAACAAGTTATCATACACTTGTTTGACATAAAAATAAAACTACGAGGTAGTTTATAGTAGCTAGATAAGAATCACAGTTATGAAATATATAATAACTTAAGTTGTAATTATCAACAAACTAGAGGCCAAGTGCATGAAATTCGTGCACTAGGAAGGTCCCTAGCAGCTGCTAGCTGCTGGCTGGGTACTCCCTCCCTTCCCCTGGCTGCCTGCTCCCTGCTGCTGTTACTGCTGGTGACTGCCTGTAGAGCCCAAATCACCCCGCCAATAGCCCCACCACCACTTGGCTCTCAGGTGTTGAATTAATTGATGACTATCATATATGTAGAGGCTTATGATTGAAGAGAGCTCTGTGATCAGATGGGCAGGGCATCTGGCCCCCGCCTGGCTCCCTCAGTGCCTGGGAGCTGGATGGCAGTGGGCGATGGGATCAGCAGGGTGATCAGATCCGTAGGATGATTTGCCCCCCCCCCCCCCCCCCCATTGCAAATCAGTGGGTTGCATGGGCCTTGGCCTGGTACTGCCCACACCTGCTCTACCACCCTACCCCAATCCTGTTCTCATCAGAGCTCATCGAAGCCTGTAGTGCCTCCACTGCTGCCCACTGCCAACACCCCATCACCAACACCCGCCATGTTTCACGCAGCCCCAGGTGGTCAGAGCATATCACAGCAAGCAGTGGAACTCCCAGCAGAACTCCTGGTAGAGGGGGTAATTTGCATATTAGGCTTTTATTATATAAGCATAGTTAAGACAGTGAAGAATGTATTATAATATTTATTTATAGTCTCTCTTTGCATAGTATCAAGAAAGCAATCTAACAGACGTTTTAACATCTTTTAATGGGATATTAGAAAAAGAGACAGACATACATCTTATATCTCAAAAGCTGAATAGGTATTTTGTTTTCTCACTCACTTAAATGAATACTGAAGGAGTGACCTTTAACCAAACGAAGGTTCAGTATCAAAAATAACTGGCTATTTTCTCCTAAATTGCCAGCTAGGTAGAGTGATTCTTAAATGGTACTTGTCAGCAAGTAAGATGATCTCAAGAATGAACAAAAATAGCCTCTGTTCAACAGCTGTGATATCTATAATTTATAAGCTGTGATCAGCTCTCAGATTGTTTTGGTGTCTAAATGAGAATGGATGTATGTTTGCCATTTTATCTTTTATCACTTCTCAGAAAATAAACTTTTGTTACATCTTATCCTTTTTTTATCAATATATTTCTATCTTCACATATAAACAGTGTGATAAAAGACCTTTTTAAAAAATATTTTTTATTGATTTTTTTACAGAGAGGAAGAGAGAGGGATAGAGAGTTAGAAACATCGATGAGAATCATTGATCAGCTGCCTCGTGCACACCCCCTACCTACTGGGGATGTGCCCACAGCCAAGGTACATGCCCTTGACTGGAATCTAACCAGGGACCTTTATGTCCACAGACCAATGCTCTATCCAATGAGCCAAATCGGTTTCAGTGTGATAAAAGGCCTTTTGCTGGAGGAATGTGACCTTGAAATTCTGTCATACATAATATTAAAAATTTTCAACTAATCCTTAAACATTTATTACCAAACAGCCAATAATTTTTAAGCACTGAAAGGCAACAAACTAGGACAATATGGAAGGAAGGATGGAAGGAAAGGAGAGAGGAAGAAAGAAGGGGTACCTAATTACTAAATTAGTGTCAGTCTTTAATGCTGTGGCTGGGCATCATGTTTCTAGTCGCCACGCCCCCCCCCCTTTTTTTTAACCCCACTTCTATCTTTGTCGCATTTATTTTTTAATTTGTGCTCTTATATTGATTTGCTCTTGCTCTTCACAATTTCTTTGTTCATATATATTTGACCATGTTCTCTACACTCAGTTTCCCTTTTCCTTTGTCACTGTCTCTGCACAGTTCTATCCCAAAGTATGTCTACCCACTGTGTATTTATATAAGCATGTGTTCCAATGCTATTAGCAAATATGGTGGCTGTGAGTCATGGGAGAACTTCCTGTAAATGAGAATTGAGAGCTCGAGAGGACAAGGTTCTTATATCTTTAGGACAAAGTGATTGATGACTATAATATACGTGGAGGCGGAGGACTGAAGAGAGCAAAGAATTTCCCCACAGACCATGGTCTGTTTCAAACACACTCAGCCTGAGGCCCCAGAAGCTTCCTGGTGCTTCACTCCACTGCCCTTGGACAGAGACTCCCCACCGCTTCCCTTAGACCAGTGGTAGGCAAACTCATTAGTCAACAGAGCCAAATACCAACAGCACAACGATTTAAATTTCTTTTGCGAGCCAATTTTTTTAAAACTTAAACTTCTCATGCCACTTCTTCAACATAGACTCGCCCAGGTATTCTGTGGACGAGCCACACTCAAAGGGCCAAAGAGCTGCAGTTCGCCAACCACAGCCTTAGACTCACACCCGCTCTCCTCACTTGGGGCCTGCTTCTCTTCTTCCAGCTCGACTTCCACCGCTTTCTATTCCCTGGGATCCGGTCCAGATCTCACCCTCACATTCCCAGTCCCTTTGGGGTTCCTCAAAATAGGTCCCTACAGCCTTCGCTCCCCGGCCCCTCCCCCAGGGAAAGGGGAGCCGTTCCCCGCACCCCGCCCCCCGCCCTGCACACCTGTCCGCGCAGACCCACCCCGCCCCTCGCTCGGGCCCCGCCCCCGCCCCCACTCCCCCACCCGCGACTGGTGGCCTTTGCCACCTGGCCCCGCCCCGCCCTCTCCGGCGCTGCAGGCCGCCGCCGAGTCTCCGCGGCCCACCCCGCTCTCCCCCGCTGCCCCGCCCGCTGCACTGTGGGTAGCGGCGCCGCTCGGGGAGCCCTCGGTGGCGGCGGCGGCGGCGGTGGAGCGAGGCTGCGCGCGCCGAAGATGGCTGAGAAGCAGAAGCACGACGGGCGGGTGAAAATCGGCCACTACGTGCTGGGCGACACGCTGGGCGTCGGCACCTTCGGCAAAGTGAAGAGTTGAGTACTATTCCGAGGCCGCGCCGAGGGGCGCCTCCTCGCCGGGCGTCCTCCTTGCGGGAGCTGGGGAGCGTGGAGCCGGGCGGCGCGGGCCTGGCGGCAGGTGGAGCGCCCAGAGGGCGGCGGCTACGGCCGGGCCGGGGCTCGGGGACGAGGGCGCGGGGGAGGGGGGGTCGGCGTCGTGGGGTCCGGGACAGCGCCCCGCCGCCTGTCGGGGTTCGGAAGCCGCCTTCTCCCCGGACCTGTATCCTGGTCTCCGAAGCCGAAACCCGGCGGGAGCTGCGGTGTTCGGGCTGTGCCCGCGGGCTCTGCGGCCGTGGGGTCGGGCTGGCCAGTAACACCCCTGAGGCAGGATTTCGAGTTCCATTTCGTGCCCGGCGCCCTGCTAGGTGCTTCACGTGTGATTTCATTGAATCCCCACGGTAGCTTGCTGCAGGTGCTATCCGTGCCTCGAAGGTGGCCAAACGCCAGGGACCCCTGGTGGTTTAGGAACACGCCCAAGGTCACACTGAAAGGGGCAGAACCAGGATGAAGTGCAAAATGTCTTCCAATTCTGGCCAGGCTGGAGGTCCCTGCCACCCCTTTCTTTCTTGCTGCGTGACTCTGGTTGGTGGGCTGACTGTGGAGGGGCTGGGAGGTGGAGAGGGCTGACTGGTGGCTGACTGTGGAGGGGATTTGGAGGTGCTGGGGGTCCGGGGGCTGGCTGATTGGGGCTGCCTGAGGAAGAGATGGGAAATGGGGAGGTCTGGTTGGTGGGCTGACTGTGCCTCCACCGTCAGATGTGAAGGGGCTGGGAGGTGGGGAGGGCATGTTGGTGGCCTGACTGTGGAGCGGGTGTGGAGGGCCTGGGAGGTGGTGAGGGCATGTCGGTGGCCTGACTGTGGAGGGGGTGTGGAGGGGCTGGGCGTGGCAGAGGCTGGGATGCTGCTGCCTTGGGTCAGGGGAGAGGGGGATGGATTAGAACTGCGGAGTCTGAAGGTTGGTTGGCTTGTGTGAAATGGTCTGGGGTGTGTGTGTGTGTGGTGGTGGTGGGGGAGGTACGGGGATGGAGGGAGAAAAAAGGTTCCTTGGTGTTCTGTCTCAGAGGATGTGGGGCCTTGGAGGCCAGAGCTGCTAAAGCAGATTCTGCTGAGGTCTATTTTTGTTGGTGATGGAATCCCACTTTGAGTGGAGGAAAACAGGCCGCCTTAGAAATATTTTACTTCTTACTGGTTAAGTATTAAACTTCCCTTTTTGTGTTGTTAATAAAAGTCACATAAGATTTAATTAATTTGCCTTCTCCCCAGAACTTGAGCCAGCTTATTAAAAATACTCTCCATATGATTGTTGCAAATCCAGAATTATAAGTAAAACGTTGTTCTCTCCCCCCACCCCCCCTTCCTTCTTTTTGTTTTTTTGCTATAGAAATGTTGGCTAGGCAGTCTGGAGACTATTCCGAGGCCTCTATTTTATTTAAAATTCATATTTTAATCTTAAGTTTGTCAAATAGAATGAACTCATTGCATATTTCTGTGGCAAGGATCAGCTTTTATTTCATATTCAGTGTTTCCCAAACTTCTCTCATGATAAGAATCACCTGGTTGAGTTGTTAAACTACAGATTTCTGAATCCCAACTAAGAAGTGCTAAACTAGAATTTGTGGGAACATATAGTTAAAATTTACAATTTGTTCCCAAAAATTCTAGTTTAGCACTTCTTAGTTGGGATTCAGGAATCTGTAGTTTAACAACTCCACCAGGTGATTCTCATGATGAGAGAAGTTTGGGAAACAATGATATATTTGATACCCTTTCATTTGTTCAGAAAACACTTACTGAACACCTACAATATGTTAGGCACTGTTTTAGACAATGGAGATACAGCAAGGAGCAAAACCAGACTTAAAACAATAACAACAACAACAAAACCCTTTTACCCTAACTAGTTTGGCTCAATGGATAGAGTGTTGGCCTACAGAGGGTCCCAGGTTCCTTTCCAGTCAATGGCAAGTTCTTGGTTGTGGGCATATCCCCAATAGGGGGTGTGGTGTGCAGGAGGCAGCTGATGGATGTTTCTCTCTCATTGATGTTTCTAACTCTATCACTCTCCCTTCCTCTCTGTAAAAAATCAATAAAATATATTTAAAAAAACAAAACACAAACAAACAAAAAACCCTTTTGTGGAATTTATACTCCCAGTAAGGGAAGAGAAACAGTTCTCACTATATGTATCAGAGAAAAATGCACCAGGTAAGAGAGGCTAGGGAGTTTTGTGAGACTGGCAGTTTTCAATAAGGTGTCAGGCAAGGCCTCACAGACAAGGCTGTATTTGTGTAAAGACCTAAAAAGTTTGTAAAATTCTTTGAAGTCCCATGAGGGCTATGAAGTTCTGAGTTATTTTTGAAAGACCTCATAAATAGGGTGGATAGTGAAGAGAATATATTTAGAATGAATGCAGGAAGATCTGTGGGATTGGATTAATGCTTGAAATGTCATTAAAGATCATTGAGGACTATTGTGTTTCAACATTATGAAGTTGTTACTCAAGCAAGTGGTGCCTTTGATATCTGGACATGTACAGGGTATATAACTTACCCTAAGTTCTTCCAAGTTGTGTTAAAATTTTTGTTTATTTTAAAACATTCTTTAACTAATCTGAATATAGACTAAAATACCCATCTAATCAATTGGCCCATTGCCAAAGCACAACTTAAATCCCTTGTATATAATACTTGAGCTGCTTCCAGGCACTGGCTTCTTAAAATGTAAACCAACATAAGGTACTTTGATTTATGAGAAATCCTCTTCCTGGAGGGCCTGTGGCCAATGAGCAACCATTCGGAGTGATGTTCCTAATAATGTGTTAGAGCCTCTGTATCGGGTTTTCCCAGCCCAGGTTAGAATTAGTACAGTTTAATAAAAATTATAGAAGTTGCTACAATTTAAAGTCATTTATTTAATTCAAGGGTCAAGAAACAATAGCACATACATTTTTAAAAACAACTTTATTGAGGTATATTTTACATATTATAAAATTCACTCATTCCAAGTGTACAGTTCAGTAATTTTTAGTAACTTTACCAAGTGGTTTAACTTTCATAGATTAATTTTAGAAGATTTTCATCACCACAGTAAGATCCGTCATGCCCATTTATAGTTAAGTAGAGGCAGGAAGCATGAAATTTGTGCAAGAGTAGGCCTTCCTTCCCTCTGGCATCCGGAATCTGGGCTTCCCTCGAAGCCCTGGTTTGGTCCGGAAGGACATCTGGGAGGATGTTCAGTTTAATTAGTATATTATACTTTTATTATTATAGATTATTATAGACTAGTAGCCCTGTACACAAATCTGTGTGTGAGTAGCTTGCTGCCACTTGCCTCAGCTGGCCACCCCCTTACTGCAGCTGGTAGCTGTGTACTACTCCTAGCTTGCTGCCCTGCCCTCCTGGAGCTTCTCTTCACTCCCCCCCCCCCACTGCGCGACCCCCTCCCTTTCGCTCCCGTGCCCCAATAGCTTGCTACCCTGCCCCCTCCTATAGCTCTCCCACCCCTGCTTGTAGTTCAGGGTGTAACGGATAATTAGCATATTCTTCTCTTATTATTAATATATAGGATTCTCATTCCTATTCTCAGCCCTAGAAAACCAATAATATATTTTCTGTCTGTATAAACTTTCTTTCTCTGGACACTTACAGAATCTCTCATGTCTGGCTTCTTTAATATTTTTGAGACTCATGCCTGACATAGCATGTGTCAATAGTTTGTTACTTTTTATTGCTGAACAAATATCCCAATGTAGGTATGTCAGTGTATCCATATCTTCACCAGATGATGGACATTGTTTTCAGTTTCAGGTTATTACAAATAATGCCACTATAACATGCAAGTCTTTGGACATATGTTTTATGTTATCTTTGGTAGATAACTAGGAATAGAATTGCTGGGTCATATCATAGTTTTATGTTGAGCTTTTTGAGATATTGCAAACTGTTTTCCAAAGTAGTCATACTATTTTACAGTCCCTTCAACAGTGTATGAGGGTTCCCATTTTGCCACATCCATATTTGTTATTTTCTGTCTTACAGCCATTCCAACTGGTGTGAAATGGTATCTCATCGTGGCTTTAATTTACATTTCCCCAGTGATGATTAATGTTGAACACTTTTCATACCCTTGACCGGAATCGAACCTGGGACCTTTTAGTCCACAGGCCAGAGCTCTATCCACTGAGCCAAGCCAATTTCGGCTCATGCATTTTTTTTTATTGTCATAGATTTAGACTTTTTATGGTTAATTTCTACTAAAAAATAATAGGTTATTTAGTTTTATATGGCTATAGAAACATGGAAATTGAGGAGTGAAGATTATCTTATGTGCCTTCTCTTCTTTATTGTCATCCTAATTATAGATTTTGGAAATGGCAAAGTTTTTATTTAATAGCACTAGTTTCAAGTTATTTTTTTAAAGTATATGGATTTTTTTTCTATTTGTTGATAAATAACTAAAGCCTTATTTAAAATTTTCTTAGTTGAATTTTCTACTTCATTATTTTGTTGTAAAATTACTTAAGGAAACATTATATGGGCTGACAGAGTTAAAAAGTAATACTTTTTTACTTAAATTTGTTTTCTATATTGATCATTTCAGTTCTTGATTCTTCCCGGTATAGGGTAGAACTGATGTTTGAGAGCTCTTGCATTTAGTCTTGTTCAGTTCTTTTTTTTTTTTTTAAATATATTTTATTGATTTTTTACAGAGAGGATGGAAGAGGGATAGAGAGCCAGAAACATCAATAAGAAAGAAATATCAATCAATTGCCTCCTGCTCACCCCCTACTGGGGATGTGCCTGCAACCAAGGTACATGCTCTTGACCAGAATTGAACATGGGACCCCTCAGTCCACAGGTTGAAACTCCATCCACTGAGCCAAGTCGGCTAGGGCGACTTATTCAGTTCTTATCTTAACTACTAGTAAAGGTGATAGAAATTTTAAAAGAATAGATCTGTTATTTGTGTTATACAAA